TAAATACCAAACAGAGTTACGTGAATCCAGACACTTAGCTAAAGGCTTCTCTCAATGGTTACACACGGACGGAGAACGTTGACTTCTGCAACTAAGGCATGGCACCATCAGTCTTTTATCCACAGGTGGAGATCCTTAACGAGTCACAGCTGCTTGTTATCTTCTCCTGTGAGCATCCTGAAACCACTCACAGGAGATTTCTGTGTCAAACTGATAGCAGCTGCAAAGGCTCCTATCGAGCCACAACAGATTACAACTGTAAATATTTACAATTATTATAAATGAGTAAAACAGATAGAAATTTGTAGCTTGTATCAGTAGGTTCCTTCAATCACACAGTGCACTATGAACTTTGCTCTCTCACTTGGTACAGTAAAGAAACTAGATGCGTTTATGAGATTATACAAAAATTAATACAGAATGTTGCTTCCTTTTCATCTCTGCATTTTTTGCAAATTCCAAAATCAGTTACATAATGTTAATTCAAAATGGGATATCCAAGATCTGGCCTTTGTGTTGCACAGAAATTGTTGTAAAGTAGAATATGCCTGAATATTATAGGTAGCCTAATACAGCCCAGTTCAGTTTAACCAAGATTGTAATCCTAATTAAGTAAGGCCAAGAGAACTCAACAGAATTTCCTCCTGAATATACATAGTACAAATAACCATTTTTTAAGCTAACATATAACATTTCTTGTGTTCTACTCTAAGCAGACTTTTTTTAATGGTCTACATTTTATCATCCAATGTTAGTAGTGATTGGAAGAAATTAAAATAGACTGGCATTAACTGATCTTGTTTTTCTGTATCCCTCTTTTTTATTTGCATAATGGATCTTTTGCCATTTAGTGATGGGTAAGTAAACTTAACACAGTAATGTGTATGCCTGTGTGTATTTTGGATCAGTCTCTTTAATGAAAGCTTATATTTTATGAATATTAGTTTCTTACCAGTAATTGGCATGCTGTTTTGGATCTCTGGAAAATGAAATGCCTGTGAAGCACAATGGTAATTTTCATGTTTATAGTATTTATGAAAATATAATTTCTGTTCTAAATAGATAATTAACTGTAAACTCATACTGTTAGGTAAATCGTTACATGACTTACCGCCTCACTGATTCTATTTAGCTCCTTGAAGTAAATCATAAAAAGATTAATCTCCTGTAATGCTTTCAGGATGTGATAAGAAGCCACATTTAATCTTTTTAACCAAACTATTCAAAATCAAAGGGAAGTTAAATATATATATTTTTAAAGATTTGGGTAACAAGTATTGATTGATTTTTGTTTGGAGGTGATAAGAATCTAATTTATGGGTTGGATTTAGGTCAAGGTTTAGATATACATATAGAAGGGATGGACAGTTCAGAAATATAAGATTAAATTATATAGATATGAATATATATAGTACTACATGTATAATATTATATAAAACTACACAATTCACAGAATTGAAAAATATATTTTTATACAGCTTATAGCTACAAAATTATTAATTTACTTTAAAATATAGCCATATCAAGATAGATAGTGTTAGCTAAGGTAAATTAATATTTGGACGATAGACTAAAGCAGGGGTAGTCAACATTTTTAGACCTACCACCCACTTTTGTATCTCTGTTAGTAGTAAAATTTTCTAACCACCCACTGGTTCCATAGTAATAGTGATTTATAAAGTAGGGAAGTCAATTAAATTAAAAAAAGGAAAGTGCTTCAGTA